TACAGGTATCCTAACCCAATCATTAGTAACAGTTGCTGTAATACGAATATTACATAGGTGATTATCCAAATTTTCGCCATCAATGGGATTTGAATACCCAACCTACCACTTGGAGGGTTGACAACCTGACCACTTCACTAGGTCACCACATCCTTAAATATTTATTTTGGTTTATTTTATAGAACTTTATATCTAATTATAAATTAAATTACAAAGTATATTTTGCCTTTGTTTGTAATAAATCTAAAAACTTAACTATTAAGCTATAATATTTAGACCTACTTGTTATATATTTTTTTTAAACTATTTATAATAATTAATAATATAATACTAATTTTGAAATATAAAAACTATTAAGATACATATATTTAAACTATTTTTATAATATTTATAACTTAAAATTTTTTTACAACTTTTTTTATACATTAAATTTTTTTGATTATATTTTGTTTTTATAACTCATATTTGTATAATATAAACTTATTATTAAAATTATATTTTAAAATAAATTTTTGTTTAATTTTCAATAAGTATTTATTATTATTTATTTTATAATAAATTTTTTTGTATAATAAGAAATTTAATGTTTTTCTATTTTTATATGATTATAATTTTTAATATTTTTAATTTATTTTTTAATTTATACTAATTAATGATAAGAAAAATAAATATCAATATTAATTTTAGATATATATTATTAGAATATGATAACTTAGTAAAATAGATAAATTATCAACTCTCTAAATAGTAGATTGTAAGATCAAAACCTACTAATAATAAAAAATTTAAACAATTATTTATATAATATTTGTATTAAGACAATAGCATTCTATTAATTAGTTAAAATAAGATATTTGTAATTATGATTATACTAGTATAACTAATAAGTTATAAAATATTTGTGTTATCTTAATTATACAAAGGAATGCTAATTAGTACTAGGCAATGCAAATCCAAAATAAGTCTTTGCAATTATGTAAATTTGTAGAACTAGAAAAACTAGAACTTATTTAAGAAAACTTAAACAAAGAGATAACACAGATTTTTAAAAATACTATTATAAAAACTAGATCTAAAAAACAGATACCAATGTGAAAAAATTAGATAACCAAGAATCTCTAGATGGAAGATATTATTAACTAGACTGTCAGAATTTTGAACTAAAGAAAAATATATTGAACTAAACTCAGTATATCAAGAACAGATTATAGTCCTATTAGGCTATCTAAATTGGAACTCAGATAACAAAATAGAAATATACTAAAATACTAAAAATATACTGTAAAATGGGTACTGTGTTTAAATAAATTTTATAAAAACATAATTCTGTTAATAATTCATAGAGTAGGTAAGTTAGTTAACAGAAAGATACTCTAAGTCTTACAGTCAAATAATATGCTTTGAAACAAGTAATGACTTGATGGTTATATAGAAAATGTTAAGTTAGATGATTTTTAGATGTACAGAAACCAGTATGCTATCTGTTAGAAGTAGTATAAGAATTAGAATGTTTAATTAGATAATCACCTAGCAAATTACAGATATGACAGCTAGTGTAAAACCTGCAAGCAAACTACTTAAATAAATAACTAAAAATTGTACATGTAACTAATCATACACTCATTTTGTTTAAATTATGTAAATATAATTAAAACCACAATAAAGGCAGTAGCCACCATTAACATAAACTTTAGCATAAGCAAAAAAAAAGATGTATACGTTTATAAAATCTATTAACAACAAACCTATATGTTATTAACTTCCTAGCTTCAAGTTATTTTTTGCTATTATGAGATAAGAAATCATTTTTTTTAAATATGTAAGACATTTCCAAATCTATTTCATCCAATCAATAGGAGTTTTATTTGGTGAAACAATATCCATCTCCAAATATTCATCTCATTCAGCATTAGTACAATTGGTTCCATATCTTTCACTTAAGCTAACCATTTTATATAACCTATTTGTAATGTTTATGGAAATTATATGTAATTTGTATTATGTTTAGTGATTTAGGCCAATTAGATTTAATAATTTTATACTCAAGAATATATGATTCAATTTTTGTGTAATTGGGTTCTTCAAAAGTGTTATAATTGTGTCATATTTTGCGAGTGATGTATACGGTGAGATTGGGAGAAATCCATATCGGATTGTAGCAAGAATTGTAGTTTAGAGTTGATTCTAAATAATCTATTTGTAGTGATATTTATGTATAAATCACTGATTTATATGTATCCAATCACTTATGATAATTGAATAAGCATATGAAATACACCTTCGTGAATGAACATGTAAGATCTATTTCGGTATGAGAGATCTATTATACTATATCAAATTATATAATGAATGTTACAATACTCCACATTATTTCGATTTTAATTAGCGCAGTTGATCGTCATTCCACATCACAAAAAAAATAGTTACTACTTAATTGAGATACACTTTTTTCCATACAATCATATATGAAAAAAAGTTTATCATGACTACATCGCACCTTTATCACACCTTCATCATACCTTCATCGCTCCTACATTATAAGAACGTAAAGAAAAATTAGACACAATGTATATCTCGGACTGGGCAATCTTAAATGAAATAATGATTATTAACCCGCTTTAGCATTACGTTCGAAATTTGTATAGGAAGAACTGATGGTCTATATTGTACCAGCAAAAGTGAACATCAAATTAATTTATCAAAAGTAGCATTGGAGGAGGATCTTGAATCGATCAGAAAGGGAGTGAAAAAAGTTATTGGAATAATCATGAGGTTGTTACGAGCCAGAAGGCAAAATGAGACGTGTACATCAAAAAGTCGAAAATAGATATGTGACTTTTCACTAGCTCCATTATTCATTTCCATTTATGTATTTTATTATATATATAATTTTATAATGTAACTGGCACCTATGTGCTTTATATTTTATTTGTAACAATAAAGCAAATGTACGTACTTTTTTTTTTTCTTGACAAAAGTGATCTGCGTCACAATTTGTAACGCGCACGTAGTTTTTATTTAGTATATGCATAAGACACCCGTTTCTGGGGAATCATAGAGAAATGAGCTAAATTTGAATTATATGTGTGACTATTTGAAATTAATAGACTATTCATGGATTTTCATTTTGAATCTCTTCACATTCCCATGCAGAAATCGAATCTGGCAGCCAAATCCAATCACGAATTCTTGGTACAATTACGCCATCGGCCGATTCAGATAACCTTAATTTATTAATTACCCTCGTTTGAATTTCGAGCTCGCTCTGAAAATTAAGTATAAATGTTATATTGAAGTTGTGCAATATCCAATGATCAGCATACCTACTACAAGAATATAAAGGAATTCAAAGACTGCTAAATAATCCGCCACATCAATGAATTCGAATGGGAGGGTTGCAGATTTGATCTGCGAAACTTTGTAAACATGCTTATTTATTAAGCATAATTTACTGAGCGTTAACCGGTCGCCTAACGAGTATTTCTATATAAGATTTATGTTAAAAATACTTAATGAACGACAAATACATTACCGATGCCCTGAATCATGAACGTGTATAACTGCTTCGATTCTTCGACACTTTTATCCAAATAATTTCGTAATAGGGAAACAAGTCCGAATACAGCTTCTTTCAGAAGCTTTTCCGAATCTTCTTTTAATTTTTTTTGATCTGTATTTTCGGGCCCACCCAATATTTCGATAAAAACAACCTCCTTTTTACTCGAATTCCGTACTCCAAGACCATCAGCCTGGTATATAGGTAAATCAAACTTGGGAAATATCTTCTTCGCTTCTCTCATACAATCCAATTCAACTTCGATCCAATGAAATTTGTATTCATTATATACCGATTGAATTGATTTGAACAGGGGAACGATCCTTTCGACAATATACGTACGCTCACCAATATCTCTTTTTAAAGGACCTTTCTTTGTCATAAAATAACTAATTGAACATAAAATAACATGCATATCAGTAATATTATGATGTCAAAAAAATATGGATTTATAAGTAAAACTATACACATACAAATCATAAAGGACAAACTCGCAAATTTGACGAAAATCACAATCTTTTGGACTTGCTTCTGAGCTTAAAGGAGTCATAATAGCTTTTACAAATTCTTCTTTCGGTGACTAGAGTAAAAAAATTTTAATATATATATTTTACTATCTAAAAAGAAATTTATGATAACTTACTGTTAATGCCATTATGAGCCAATTACGAATTATACCAGAAATTTCTTCCGAAGTATGATTGTCTTTTATGATCATTCCTTCATCATTTACATCTATCTTTATATGATTTGGTAGATAGGTAACGGATTCCTTAAAAAGCATCAACTTTTGAGGAGTAATTTGTATATTATTGACATTAGGCCTTGGCGGTGGAGTTCCAGGGGTTTGGATGATAGGATTTGTTAATAAAGGCGATAATTGATCTTGATTTACCAACGTTGGTAAATCTTTTGGTATTATTACATTGTTTAGTACAGAATTTATAGAACCGGGTGGTGGTAACAATGGCAATGGAGGAATGGGTAGTAATGATGATAGTGGAGGAAGTGATTCTACGGCGTCACCTCCAGCCATCATTATTGCAGGTGCTGGATTATCTTCATACTTATTGGTCTGGATTTGCGACGGTCGATGAGTTAGTATTCAACGATATTATCTCCAAAGAAACTCAATAAAATAAATCCAATCTACATACACTACTGCAACAATCTCTTTCACGTCTCACTATTACTTTTGATTTTGGTTGTTTTCGGTTGCTTCTCTTTAGCTAAATTATGTGTAAAGTCTTAATAATAGTTTATATTATCACGTTTTAACATCATTTTCACCTTTTTTTTTCGATCATTGCCCGAATCAGAGGAAATAGGACTGCTACTTGGTTCATACTAATAACAAAATATATTACTTTGGTCACAATATTTTGCATATTAAATAATCCATCCGATGCCAACATACATCGGATTCACTCAGTTTTCTTTTATCAGACTCCTGCTAAAAATTACATAGATGCTTTTTTTAAATTTTGATTCATAGCTCATCTCTTACACATTGATATTAACTTACTTTCTCTTCATAATCCATGTTAGAAAATTCAGTTTCACTTAAATTTACATCATAATCATTGGATGCACTATTTCCGAGTCTCCTCGTAGAACATTCTCCTTCCTAAAAGAAATCGCAAGGAGTATTGTATTCATAATCAGAAGATATATGTTTCAGTTTGTTAAATAAATTTAAGTTATGACCTTATTTGCATGTTTCCGGTTTTGTTTCTACAAGAAAACGTGACAGAGTAAGTCGATTTGTATCCCTAGTCAAAATATTAGATCAAAATCATTTATACCATCTTCTCCTCGACATTGGTAAGCGCCACATCAATGACTCTAGAAGATCTGTGTATGAACTTGCAAGCTACTTCTGTCTATGAATTAAACGATTTCAGTAAAAGGTTATAAATGAAATATTTGGTAAGCAACAAATCAAACCTCAGCATTATCAATCGACGTTTCATTCTCAATTCGTTGCCAAAATGTGTGAACGTCCTCAAATTTCGTTCGATGTCTCTGATGCAGTTATAGAGGAAATTAATATTATATATGTTATAAAGGAAACCATTACAATCGTAAAATAGTGTAGACAGATCACAACGGGAAACCACCATAAGGCAGGTTGAACCCCCTGCCGTAGTTGTGCGAGTATGTACCCCTTCTCAGGACTGCAAGTGAGACTCCTACTTTCACAATAATTGCGAAACATGACGGGAAACCACCATAAAGCGGGTTGAACCCCCCGCCGTAGCCATGGAAGTATGTTACCCCTTCTCGGGACTTCAGTAGCAAGCCTCACACCTGTCTACAACCCGTACATCAAAGGTAGAGAAAATAGATACTTGCCTCAAAAGATTTTTGCAAACGTACAGCGCTTTCTTTCACCAGTGACTTCAAACAACGCCAGAGATTGCCGGACTCTTCTCGAAAAGATCGGGTAAAATCATCTTGCTTCTGGCGGTAACTGTAAAAGTCTAGAAACCGAAACTTTTCAGGTGGAGTTTTTTTAAAATATTCCATGGTAAACGCGTATCAATGAATGTCAATTTTTAAATTTATATAGATAGTGCGTATCACGTGATAATCAGACATGTAATAAACCAGACCAATATTTTTTTATACGTATATACTTGCCGGTAGTGATGGGCAAATCCCGATTTTTTTAAAAATCCCGCGCGGGATGCGGGATCACGCGCGGGATTCGCGGGATTGAGTAGAGTTTTTGAATTTCTCACGAATAATAATTATAAATTAAAAATTAAATAAATAAATAAATTAATAATATAATAATATTTAATAAAATAAAAATAAGGTATAAAATAATATGCTTACCAATTTATTTATATACTGTATATTTATATTTTATATTTTTTTGTTGTTTTTAATTTTATATATTTTTTTATATTTTATATTATATGGTTTTTTGTTATTTTTAATTTTATTATTTTTTTTATATTTTATATTTTATAATTTTTTTTAGTTTTATATTTTTTTTATATTCTATATTTTATATCCTTTTTAATAATTTTAAATAATCAAAATTAATAAATATATTATTGTTAATTTTTAATAAAATTATTATAAATTTCTTACTATTAATTTTTTATTCTTTAATATCTTAATCTTTAATATCTTAGTTTTCAGTATCTTGATCTTCAATATTTTGGTTTTTAATATCTTGATTTTCACTATATAGATCTTCAATATCTTGATTTTTACTATATAGATCTTCAATATCTTGATTTTTACTATATAAATCTTTAATATTTTGATTTTCATTATATAGATCTTTACTATATTGATCCTTACTATAATAATCTTTACTATCTTGATTTTTATTAAAATAATTTAATTTATCTAATTCATCTAAATTATCTTTATTAGATAAATCTGATTCATTTTCATTATTATCAAATAAATCTTTCTAAAATTTATCATTTAAATCAATTTTATCAATATTTAAACAATTTGGTTGGCTTATTTTACTAATTAATTCATTTTTAGTATCATAAAAATTTTTTAATTTACTATTACTAAATATATAAACTAATTTAAAAACTCTTGATGATTTAAGTCTATTTCTTTTTTTTTGAATATATATAACTAAAATCAAACCAATTACATTCTGCTGCTGCTGATGATGTAGGTATTGTTAAAATTCTTTTTGCAAATTAAATAAGTTCAGAAATTGAATTTGAAAAATTGTCAGACCACCAAGTTAATTAATCAATATTATTAATAGTTTCTCATACCATAATATTGTTAAATAGACCTGAATGATTTAAATATTCTAATAATTGACTATAAATTTTAGTACAAGTTTTAGGATAATATTTTTTAATAAAATCAGATACAGTTGTTATAATATTATTAGCTAATGTTTTTTCTTGAAATCTAGAATCAATAAGATATGCTATTTCTATTACAGAATTATACATACTATTCCATCTTTTTTGAATAATATTAAAAATTTGTTTAGATGCAGAACTTTTTACTAGATCTATAAATAAAATTTTAAAAATAAAATATTTAGCTTTTATAATTTTATTAAATTATATTAATAATATTTAATATTATAAATATTATATTTTAAAATTAAATAATTAATAATAAAATATATATATAATTAAATATTATTAATATAATTTAATTTTATATCTAAAAAATTAATAATAAATTAATATAATTAATATTTACTTTCATTAGTTTCAAGATTTTTATACTATTTATAAAATTGTAATAAATATAATGTATTGCTTTCAAAAATTATAATACCACTTATTAAAGTTTTTAAAATAACTAATAGATTTTAAATTTCATTCCAAAATTCATTATTTTGAATAATTTTAATAATTTTTAAATTAATAATAGCTGTTGGGTGATTTATTAATTTAGTAGTTACCAAACTAATTGCTAACTGATTAACTTTATTTGAATTTAAACAATTAGCTGCTGAGCCTCATCTAGTTTAACAAGTAATTTAAGAGTTTTGTAATTTAATTCATATTTATCTTCTTGATATCTTTTTAAAATTGCTACAGGAATTGTATAATTTTTAAAAAATTTTACTACTAATATTGCATTTGATAATATACTTTTTGTCCAATTTAATTTAATAATATCATTAATAAGCAAATTAAGATTATGAACTAAACAACCTATAAAAATAATTGTTGAATATTTATTATTTAAAATTTGTTATGCTTTTTTCATAACAAAAGCATTATCTGTTATAATTGCTGATACTTTTTTAAAATTATATTTTAAAATAATTTTCTCCAAATCTGCTACAATGTTATTACTATTCTGTTGAATTTTATCTGTTGGTTTTACAAAAACAAATAAAAGAACTGATGTAGCAATAATATAATTTGTTCAATGTTTAGAAACTAAATTTGACCTAAATATTATTATAATATAACATTAATAAATTTAACAATTTAAAATTTTAAATTATAAAATTTAAAACTTAAATTTTTTTAAATTAATAATAAATAAAATATTTACCAACTATCACTTATAATACTAATAAATTCAGCTTTATTAATAGTTTTATTAACTTCATCTTTAGTTTTTTCATATACCTTATTCAATAAAGTTGTTGAAAGTTTTTTTCTACTTAGTAATTTTAAAGATGGTCTAGCTTTTTTAAATAAATCTTTTATTAGTTTTAATTTAGGTAAAAATAAAGACAAACCATATTGAAAAATTACTTAAGCAAATATTAATTTAATATCATCTTGTTTTGCTTAAGAGATTCTATCAACAAAATTTTGAATCCTTGAATTTCTTTGTCTGCTTGTACTAACTGATAAGTTTTTTTTTCTAGTTCTTGAAATGTAGACCCAAAGTATATTTGTTTAATTTCTAAACTAGCTTTATCATATATTTTTAAATGTCTTTCACATCTTATAACTGATTTATTGCATTTATGATTACAATAATCACATTTAGCACATTCTTGTTTGTAATCTTTATCTAGTTCAAGTTTTGTAAAATGATGCCAAATTGGATAATTACTACCCATATTTTAATAAACTTGTAAAAGAATTACTTAATAATAATAGAAATAAATTTATAGATAATAGTAAGATACTAATAACAAAAAATCAAATTTTTATTGTATATATACTTAAATTAAATATATATGTTGTGCGTCAGATGCATCCTTATATCAGATTAAATCTGACGTATGTCAGATGTCGATTTCTATATGACATACGTCACCTGTCAATTGACCATCTAACATGTATAAGTTTTAATCTGACACAAGATCTTCAAAATCTAATCTAGTAATCTAGTAAAAGGCTATAAAAAAAACTCTTTTTTTAACTTTGCCTTTCTTGCCTTCTTTTTTTCTTGAAACTTGGCTTGATCAACATTGGCTTTTATAGTCGACATTGGCTTTTGCAATTGATGTTGGCTTTCGTATTCGACATTTGCTTTATATTACATTTGGCATTGGCATTCAGCATTGGCTTTATATCACATTCAGCAATTTCTCTGCATTCAGCATTGGCTTAATTCTTTGGTGTTACTTATTCTTGGATTTCAGTGAGTCTTCATTTTGTAGCACTTTGCCACATTGTAATTTTTTGTTTTTTTTTTAGTCTTAATATTATAGTTCTAAACTTGTTTTTACCTTCCTTAAACATTGCAATTTTTCTTTTATGCTGCTTTATAATTTTGGTTTTGTTCTTGTCTCATTTAAATGTTTGCTTTTTTCTTTGGTGCGCCTATAACTTGATCTTGTTCTATCTTCTTTAAACATTGGCTTTGTTCAAGCACTGGCATTATTCTTTGGTACTGCTTTATATCTTTGGTTTTTTCTTGCCTCATTTAAGCATTTGCTTTTTTCTTTGATGATCTTGTTGATTTTGTTCTTACTTTTCTTAAGCATTGGTTTTATTCTTTGGCACTGTTATATAACTCTGGTCTTGTTCTTCTTCCTTAAACATTGACATTATTCTTTGGCGCTGCTTTATAACTTCTTGTTTTCTTTAAGCATTTTCTTTTTTTCTTTGATGTGCCTATAACTTTGATTTTATTTTTATCTTTCTTAAGCATTGGCTTTTGTTCTTTGATGCTGTTATATAACTCTAACCTAGTTCTTGTCTCCTTTAAGTATTGGCACTGTTCTTTGGCACTGCTTTACAACTTTGATCTTGTTCTTATAAAGAATAACTATAACAATTATGCGCAAGGAAGGGTGCATAATAAATAGTAAATCGATATTATTATCTAACAATAATGTTTTGCTTTTATCTAATAATTATGGTCTAGTATCTTCACCCAATAACTGTGATTTTGTGTCTTCACCCAATAACTGTAATCTGATGTCTTCACTCAATAACTGTGATCTGGTGTCTTTACCTAATAATTGTGATCTGGTTTCTTTACTCAATAAATATGGTCTAGTGCCTTCACCTAATAACTGTGGTCTGGTGTCTTCATTCTGAAACCCAGTGTCTTTATATGATAATAATGTCAGTTATACTATGCATTCTTCCAATAACTATAATAATTATTCATATGGATGCATATGAAAAAAAAAAATCGAATTCATTGTGAGTGCATATGAAAAAAAAAAAGATTCATTGTAGGTGCATATAAAAAGAAAAAAAATAAAAGCTTATCTTATGGACATAGTATTAAAGGAATGACTACGATGATTGTGCATGGGAAAGGGGCACATAATAAATAGTGAACCAGTATTATTATCTAACAATAATGTTTTTTTTTTGTCTAATAAATGTGGTCTATATTTTTATCTAATAATAACTGTGATCTGGTGTCTTTACCCAATAACTATAGTTTTGTGCCTTCACTCAATAACTGTGATCTGGTTTCTTTACCCAAGAAACATGATCTAGTGCCTTTGCTCAATAACTGTAGTCTGGTGTCTTCATTCCAAAACCCAGTATCTTTATATAATAATAATGGCAGTTATACTGTGCCTTCTTCTAATAACTATAATAATTATCACATAGATGTATATGAAAAAAAATAGAATTTATCTTCACCTAATAATAACTGTAATCTGGTGTCTTCACCCAATAACTATAGTTTTGTGCCTTTACCCAATAACTGTGATTTGGTTTTTTCACCCAAAAAATATAGTTTAGTGCCTTCATCCAATAACTGTGGTCTGGTGTCTTCATCCCAAAACCTAGTATCTTTACATGATAATAATAGCAGTTATATTGTGCTTTCTTTCAATAACTATAATAATTATTTATGTGAATGTATATGAAAAAAAAAAATAGAATCCATTGTAGATGCATACGAAAAGAAAAAAAAAAGAATTCATTGTAGGTGCATATGAAAAGGAAAAAAATAGAAGCTTATTTCACAGATGTAATATTAAAGAGATGACTATGATGATTGTGTATGGGAAAGGGATGCATAATAAATAGTGAACTGGTATCATCATCTAACAATAATTTTTTGTTTTTGTCTAATAATTGTGGTCTAGTATCTTCGCCCAATAACTGTAGTTTTGTGTCTTTATTTAATAACTGTAATCTGGTGTCTTCACTCAATAACTGTGATCTGGTTTCTTTACTTAATAACTATGATTTTGTGTCTTCGCCTGAAACCCAGTATCTTTACTTAATAATAATAGCAGTTATATTATGCTTTTTTCTAATTAATAATTATTCATGTGGATGCATATGAAATAGAATTCATTGTAGATGTATACAAAAAAAAAAAATAAGATTCATTATAGATGCATATGAAAAGAAAAAAAAATAGAAGCTCATCTCATAGACATAGTACTAAAGGGACGATTACGATGATTATGTGCAGAAAAGGGACGCATAATAAATAGTAAACTAGTATCACTATCTAACAATAATAGTTTGCTTTTGTCTAATAAATGTGATCTATATCTTTGCTCAATAATTATAGTTTTGTGTCTTTATTCAATAATTGTAATATAGTATTTTTGCCCAATAATTATGTTTTTGTGATTTTGTCTAATAATTGTAATATGGTTTCTTTGAAGTTTTGTAATAATTTTTGCAATTTAATATAGTTAAATTTTTTTTAAAAATATAATTTCATAATTTTTGACAAATATGTTTATAATTTATATTTATTTATTGTTTATTTTTTCAAAATTTTCTAAATTTATAATAATTTAATAATTTGAAATTCTATGATATTAAAAACTAATAAGTTTGTAAATATTAAAAGTTAATATTGTTAATGATTTGGTTTGGGTTATAAACCATTAAAATAAATTTAAAATCAAATTAAATTGGTTTAATTATTTTACTTTTAGTTTATATTTTAATTTATATTTTAGTTTATACTTTAGTTTATACTTTAGTTTATATTTCAGTTTATATTTCAGCTTATATTTTAGTTTATATTTCAGTTTATATTTCATTTTATACTTTAGTTTTATATTTCAGTTTATATTTTAGTTTTGTATTTTAGTTATATTTCAGTTTATATTTCAAAACAATCTTTTGGTCTATACTTTAGTTTATACTTTAAAGCAATACTTTAAAACAATTTTAAAAAAATAAACCCAAATTAATATTAACATTATTTATTTTATTTTTTTTTTGGTATTAAGGTAACCTCTTTGGTCTTTTGACTTTTATTAATCATTTATTGGTATTGTTGTTCAATGAACTACTACAGAAGAGCATACAATTGGCTACACATGTAACTTTTTTATATTACCTATTTAAGAAGTTCGCCCAAAGGTTCTTTACTAATTGCTGTACTTAATACCTCTGCTTGGGTGTTCTACTTTAAACCTTCTGAACCTGTAACCTGTGTTAACATTACTGGTCATCTCAGATGTACCAGATTATTATCCTCAACCTTAGGACTAATTTATCCTTGAGGTAAACCTCCCAGAGCCTTCTGTACCCATTTTTACAGCTGACCTA